CACATGAAAATTGATTCATGAGCAGTACTAGGAAGCACAGGACAGGGATAAATGGGGAATGTGAAGGCAAGTCTGGAGGCTTCCATGGAGGACACGATGGTTCTTCTGAGATTTAGAGAGTGAATAAGTTAGCCAAGAACCATGGAATAGACAAAGTAGAGGAAGATGTTCTGGAGCAAAATAAATAACTGCTTTTCAACAAATTTACCAGCTGGTGTAACATGAGAGATTTAGATTAGCATGTGGATCAGACAGAGCAACAGAGGAAAATTAAGACATTTCTTTCTTGACTTCAGCCAAGGGATGACTGTAGCAGATGAGGCTTGGTTCTGCACTGATGGAGTGGGATGGGTTCAGGGGGTAAAGCTGGAGATTTTTGACTTGGTAGCTTTTCAACCTGAAAAGTATCCAATATAACTTGCTCTCTAAAAGAAACCTCCACTGAAACCCCAAATACAAAGCAGCGTTTCTCGGGAGGGAAAAATGTTCTGTCCAATGTCCTTGCAGATTGGCCCTGGAAAAGCCCCTGCTTACACTATGGCAGCCCTTAGGGACCTGTGATGGATTCTTTGTATGGTAGGAGAGGAACCAGAAAACCCACATAAGAGGCCAAAGAGGCTGGTGGCCACAGAGTGAGATGAATTTTCTCAAGTTCCTTAAGCTAGTTCTGCAGTAGAACAACTTTTTCATGTATTATTCTTGGCTTCCTTGAGTGTCTCCTGTCATGATGTTATCTGGTCTACTTTCTACTGTGGCTGACCTTGTAATTTCCCATTTAGTGTCTGTCTTCATCCCAAACTGGACAGAAAAGCAGCTTGTTTGGGACTTTCGGGACAATACTTTTCTTTAGAAAAAGAGTGGGCTTCTACCTGAGTCTCCCATGGACTGTGCCCCCTTGTTCCAGCAGACCAAGTCTACCTGTTTGCAAGGTCTCCAGTGCTAACAGTTGACACCGTCAGATAACATTCTACACAGCTGGCATTACACGCAGGCTCTGAGCACCTGTGCTCTGCTGCTGATTTCCTGCTCCAGGCTGTTCTGCTTCATTGTAAGTACATCCCTTATGGAACATAATCCATGGGCTGAGCCACAGTGTTTTCACCCACAGGAACTACAAACTGTCTTGTGCTGTCTTTAACACTCGGTTTTCTCAGTGAAGCCCATCCCCGCACCACACCTCACCCCACTGTCTTTTCCCTTTTGATCTCTGCCTTTAGCGTCCATCTTCTTTGTCTTTCTAGTCGGTATTTCCAGTAGCTATTAGCAGTGAGATGGAAGGACCTTTGCCAGGAATGTCTTTGGGGTTGCAACAGAATCCCCCCTTGCTTCCTGTTTCCTCTTGGCCACCTCTAACAGGACGTTTGGCCCCCAGGTGGTCTGCCATAGATCAATTTATGAGTGCCACCCTCAGGTGACCAAAGCCTGTGAGAGCTTTCTGGAGGGAAGGTGGAGTTAGCTAGCGCATATCTATCCTCATACCAACTCTGCCCAGGTTCTCTCTCTACAGCCCTGTATTAGCAGTCATCTTATAAACTGAAGATACAGGCAGAGGGCTTGTTTTGTCCTTTGTTGAGCAGATCTGGAGTGATTGAGAGTTGCTCCACTGCCCTACAAACCCCTTCACCTTTTCTCCTGCAGCATCCTCTCTGGTCTCACCTCTTCCCTCTCCTCCAGGCTTCTGGTTCCAAGGCCACCCCTGTCTCAAGAGCTCTGTACGGATGTTCCATCTGCTCAGAAGTCTTTCCTCTAAATGGCTCCAGGATGTGCTGATCAGTTTTCTATCCATTGTCACTGTCATCGTAACGCCATTCCTGACCCCCTCCATTTAAATTGGTGACATACTTCCTTCTCCAGACTTAATGTGTTTTTCTCAGAGACAATTTTCACCTGTTGAGATTCTGTATACTTTCAGTTTATGTATTCTGCACCTTCTACTGGACTTCAAGCTCTGTTAAGAGCAAGGTTTGATGTTTTTGTTTCTATTTGCAACTACTCATCCCTGGACTGCTGTTGGGGACTGCTAGAACCTTGAACAAAATGGAGTCTGTCAGCCATTTCTTGGCCTTCTGCCTACGTGACTGCGAGCACACATGCCCTTGAGACAAAGGAAAAGGTTAACCATAAAAGTTAAATTTACACAGGGCAGCCCACCCGCCTAGCCAGGGGGAAGTAACCCTTATAGAGCAATTGTCTTTGTTAACAAAAGGTTAAAGTGTTCCTTTGAATACCTTTTACCCCTCCCTAATTCCTGCACCTGACTTACGCTGACAAGCATTTGTGGAATGCAACTGATGGAAAATTACAGCTTCGTCTTTACCTTATTTGGTGTATATTTGAGTTGAGACTTGATTGGCATGCTTGTACTGCCCCCTGAGATTCTTTTTCTATAAGAACCATCTCACCCCAAAAATAAACGCTCTTGATCAGCAAAGGTTGTCTTGAGCCTGTTTCCTTTAACCTCTTGAAGTTTACTTTTAAGATCGGATCTGCTCGTGAAGACCCACCAAATTAGTAGCGACCCTCATCACCTCATCCCCTCGGGTTGGGGATCCCCTCCGGGGGTCGCAGACTGCAAGATCAGTATCTGCCACAGGATGTGTGTTGAGTACTGTTGAGTGAATGCAGCAGTCACACTGAGCATGAACACAGGCTTCAATCATCCTTCCTGTCAGTCTGCAAGCCTCCTTCCTGTAAGGTTCCAAACTTCCTTCTTGTCAGGCTCTAGACTTTCTTCCTGTCAGGATCCAAGCTTCCTTCCTGTCAGGTTCCTGGCTTCCTTCCTGGCAGGTTCTAGGCTTTCTTCCTGTCAGACTCCAAACTTCCTTCCTGTCAGGCTTCAAGCATCCTTTCTGTCAGGCTCCAAGCCTTTTCTCTGGCTTCCTTCCCGTCAGGCTCCAGGCTTTCTTCCTGTCAGGTTCCTGGCTTTTTTTTCCCTGTAAGAATCCAGGATTCCTTCCTGTCAGGCTCTAGCCTTCCTTTATGTTTCTGTTTCTCAGGGCTCCTGAAGACTAGACATGTACGATCTGGCATGGAAGTCCAGATTTGACATGTTTATTTCTTTTCACATTGGTTTCCTTTCATTTCTTATTAAACCACCTAAGCAGGCAGTATGTTTAAGAGTGCCTTCCTTCCCAGCATCACTTAGTGGAGAAAATATTTATTAAGGTTTGATGTTGGCAATACATCAAAATCCAATAATCATACCGTAGTGCGAAAGCATTGAAGGGTGTGAGACCCATAGCGTAAAACATGTAATCTGCACATCAGGATCACAAAGGCGAATCTATAATTTCATTTGATTTATTTTCTTAAAATGCGACAATCCCACATGTTTCTTGAAATGATGGAAGTTGGGACAAACAGAAATGCGGGAGATTTATGAGGCTTGGCAGCCAAGTCTTGGGGATCCCTCCTCCGTGCCTGAAAGATAGGCCTGAGTAATTTCCCCTTTTACTGCAGCAATATCTCGTCTGCATTCACCAGAAAGACCCCCGACCTGTAAACATATTAGCAGGCGTGTTCTCTTTACGAGTGTGTAAATTTCCCCACAGTGTGTGCCTCCAGGGTCTTGAAGCTCTGTTTATTGGTGTGAGTAGCCTATACGAGAGAGAGCTCAGTATGATCTAGATTTATGCCAAGTGAAAAGTGGTGGACAGCCTGGTTTTATTTTTTTTTCAAATAAGAGCAGACATTTTCTTTAAATAGCATGATTCACTTAAATGAAATAACACACAGTGATCTTCAAGATGTGAAAGCTGTGGCTTGTCAGGGTGGACAGATTTAAACTTACCAAAGTTGTCTAAAAGGGTCTTCAAGCCTGGGGGAAAAGATGACTCCCTCCCTACTGTGCTCCACCCTTTCCTAGGCTTGCCTGTCAACCTCTGGGTTTGACATGCCTTGGCAGGTACCCTTCTCTTGAAGACAAGAGCACTGCTGGTTATTGGAAGCCCTTTCTATGGTGAGGTGCATGAATCTCACTGACCATCCTAAAGGTAGATATGAATATACTCAAGAGTTTTGCAGGTAACCCTGAGGCTCCAAGGGGTCAATGATGGAGAAAGTGTTTAACATGGAGGATTTAATCCCAGGGCCAGTGGTTCCAGGTTCTGTGCTCCTTCTATGTCACTGCCCTAGGAACACTAGATTTGTCATTTGTAGTACTCTTAACCCTACCCTGTCAGGGCCCTTGCTCTAGGATCCATGTTTAGAGGGTCCCAGGACTCACATTTTTGTTCAGGCCTTCCCCATATTTCGAGTAACCATGGAACATGACAAATTGGGTCTCACACATCTTCAAGATTGAATTTCTAGTTATTGGGCCTTGCATATCCCCTCCTTAAATGATCTTGCACCCACTTTCAGTACCCACTCTGTCCTCCTCCTAGGGTCTATCATTCCCTAGCCCTAGATTTGAAGGGTAGACAAAGAGTACTATTTTGAATGCAGGATGAATGAATGGGGCTATTCCATGTACCCATACAGGGCTTCTTCTCAGGCATGATGGTGTGAGAAGAGAAGGCAGTGGGCCCCTGTCTGGCAGTCACTCCTGTATCTTTGCTGCAGGGTCACAGATCCTGTAGTCACTGCTTATGTCCTTAGTATGTTTTCTCTGCACAGTTGCTGTGATACAACTAATAACAATCGGAAAAATTGGAGGATACAGGAGAATTTGCAGGTTGTACCCAGAACCAGAGGCCCTGACCAGTTTGCTATGTCTACGTCTACGTCTTTTAAGAACAGGATAGCCCCTCATCTTTCCCACAGTCATTCCTTTACAAACTATGAAGAAGTTTACTCGTACTCAGGGCAGATTTCTTCAAAGTTGGTCCCTACCCTGATACCTCCAATTATGCCAGTCTGACAGTGAGTACCAATGACACACAGGATCTGCCGCTCAGATCACAGAAAAGGGCGGAAGCAGAGGGGACACTTTCTGCAGGAACCGGACCCCACCCTTTCTCACCGAACTTCTCTTTCACTGTCCCCTTTATGGTCCCCAGAACCTGAGTGCTCATGCAGTAACATAACCTGGCTTAACCTCACACCAGGAAGAAAGAAATTGCTTAAGCACATTGTATGGAGATGCATCTTCATCTCAGGTAACTACATCCTTCATGCTGACTTCCTGACTTCTCTCTAATTCTCCAGGTAGTCTCTCTCTCCCTCTCTCTCTCTCTCTCTCTCTCTCTCTCTCTCTCTCTCTCTCTCTCTCTCTCTCTCTCTCTCTCTCTCTTCTCTCTCTCTGTGACAGAAATGAAATATTTGTGTTTCTGAGTCTGACTTATTTTGCTAAGTAAGATGGTCTCCAGTTCCCATTCATTTTCTTGCAAATGACATAATTTCGTTCTTCTATGTGACTGAATAAAACTCCACTTTCTTTATCCATCATCTGTTGATGGACATGTAGACTGATTGCAAAGTTAGGCTACTGTGAATGATTCAGTAATAAATAGAGGTGTGCAGGTCTCTGTGGGAATATTCCCAGGAATGGGCTGCCTGGGTCACACAGTAGCTCTGTTTTCAGTTTTGTTGAAGAATCTCCACATTGATTCCCATAGTGGCTACGCTAGTTCTTATGCCACCAGCAATGGATAAAGTTCCCCTTCCTACCTTCTGTGCCACGCTCATCCTTGTAATGTGTTTTCTTAATGGTAGCCTTCCAATGAGAGAACACGAACTCTCAATATAGTTGTGATTTACAGTTCCTTGGTAAAGATATTGAACAAATATTTCATGGGTCTACTGATTGTTAGTACTTTAATTTGAGAATTCTGTTCATTTTATTTGCCAAATTACTGGTTCAATTATTTTGGCGTTTTTCCTTTTAGCTATTTTTATATTTTCCAATGTTTAGCAGGTAAAGATCCACCCCCAACTCTATAGACTATCTCTCTACTCTGTCAGTTATTTTGCTACATAGAAGTTTTAAAATTTCACACATCTCATGTTTTCAGGTTGCTATCATTTCTTGAACTTTTAGAGCCATTTTAGAAAGTCCTTGCTTGGGCTGGGCAGTGGTGGTGCACGCCTTTAATCCCAGCACTCGGGAGGCAGAGGGAGGCGGATCTCTGTGAGTTCGAGGCCAGGCTGGACCGATAGCCTCCAAAACAATACAGAGAAACCCTGTCTCGTAAAAACCAAAAAAAAAAAAAAAGTCCTTGCTTATATCCATGTCTTGAAGTGTTTCTTCATGCCATCCCCTAGAAGGCTAAGAAGTTCAAGTTTTGCATTAAGATCTTTGACTCATTTTGCATTGATTTTAAGGCAGGGTGAGAGATATGGATCTAGTTTCATTCTTCTATCTGTAGATACGTAGTTTTCCTAGCATAAATTTTCTTTTAAAGAGCCAGTCTCTTTTCTCCAATCTATATTGTTGACACTTTTGCCAAAATTCAGGAGGCAGTAGCTATGTGGGTTTATTTCTGATTTTCAATTATATTCTATTGGTCTATGTGTCTGTTTTGTGACAGTATCATGCTGTTTTTGTCACTGTGGCTCTGTGGTATAATTGGAAGTCAGGTATTGCTGGGCTGGTTTCTTTATTGGCCCCTCCAGCCACTTTCAAAATCAACTTCATATTTACACCATTTTCCTCACTGAGCATGTATGTATGATTTCTTCCATGTTGTGTAAGTTTTATTCATTTGTTTCCAAACCCTTCTTGGTCAGAAGTCATGGCATCTGAAGTATGGCAGAAGAAATGATAGTTGCCTAATCCGTAAAGAAAGACAAGACAGAAGAAAGATGTCCACACTGACTTTAAACGGAAAGCACCACCTTGTGGGATGATTGTACATATGTGACTCCAAAGAAGCAACCCAGAGCCAGCAGGTAAACAGCTAAGCTCACTGTAGCAGGAACCTACAAGGAATAAAGACTCAAATACAAGAGATCACCAAGTGCCTGATCAGAGATCCGCTGTGTTCAGTGAGCAGGCCATGCAGTGGCTCGTGAGCATCAAGCCCCCATGCGGGATGGACTTGATGGGTTCACACCTTCTTTATCCACCACTACCCTCACAGATACTTATTTCTCCAGGCAGTTTGAAACTGGGACCTTTATATTTAGTCTTTAATGTTATCTTATTTCATTTTCTTGTTTGTTTTGTTTATTTGTTTGTTTGTTTGGGACAGGGTTTCTCTGTGTAGCCCTGGCTATCCTGGAACTCTGTGTAGGTCAGGCTGGTCTTAAACTCAAGAGATCTACCTGCCTCTGCCTCCTGAGTGCTGGCATGAAAGGTTTGTGCCACCATTACTTGGCTGTTATCTTATTTGCTATGGAGATTAAAGTTTCTATAACTTAATATATACTGTCAGTTATGCTGTACAGTTTGGAAACATATCTTAGGTAGTTATCCTTTTTTAGTATTGCAACAGAGCATAACAAATGAATGTTTAAAATAACGATGTTTATGATTATAGAACTTACTTGTTTACTAAGGAGAACCCAGAAATTGCTGTAAAATATGAGAGTTAACATAAAGATCCCCCATTAGCCCATTATCCAGGAGTGACTACTGATAAACATATCCATGTATTTCTTTACCATCATCAATAAGTATTTTTTTTTTGCTGAGAGCAAACCTGTTTTCTGATGGGAAATTTGTACTTTTCAAACTTAGAAGTAAATGGTAATAGACTCAATGGGCCCCTGAGAAGTCACACCTTTGTCCAGGACCTCTTTCTGTTAGAAGACTTCCTAGGAATAGGAGACAAAATTGGAATAGGCTGAATCACCACCACCTCCCAGCTCTTCCAGGTGAGGCATCCAAGAATCGCCCAAGCAGGTGCCCTTTGCATTGGCTGTCTTCAGATACTAAGATGTCACTCATGGTCAATAGTTCTTCTCTCATCCCCTACAACAGTCAGGGGTTCTCCATAGGGAGAACTGAGGTGGTTGGAGGTGTGTGTGTGTGTGTGTGTGTGTGTGTGTGTGTGTGTGTGTGTGAACCTTCTCCCTCACTCACTGAGAGCTTGGCAAGTCCAGGAGAGAAGCAGCTGATTATTTTTAGCCCCTTGTGCATAACAAAAGAATGCTAATGCTCAGTGTCTTCATGAAAGCTCTCGAGTTCATCAGCTTTGCAAAGAAGTGAAATTAAATCAAGATTTAATTGGGATATGCATGTTTTATTCATTCTACTAACCACAGGAGAAGCCAGCAAGCTGAAGGTAAAAAAGAGGGAGAAAATCTTTTGAAAAGTTGTTTCTCTCTGATTAAATAGAGATAGTTTTCAACTTCAAAGGGAGAAGGCCTTTAATGTATTTTAAATGCTGAAGTAGGCTTAGCCTGACCAACTGTACTACGATTGGGCAACGTAAACCAGGGATGCCCTGTTCCAAACTTCACATCCTAGGTTCCAAGGCCAGGTCTGCAGCTCCCAATCCTATCTTCTGGGCTTCAGTATAGAGCCTTGAAACAATGTTTGGGGACTCCAGAGAGGAATGGGCACAGGCTGGAATACCTGAAGTCACCCTGTGGAATCTGAGTCCTCTCTCCTACCACAATACTCCCTCTCCCCCCTTGTGAGGGATTTCCATCTTGGAAAGGGACACATATTGAGTATCCAGCAAACTATGTTAGTTACAAAGATAGTGTATTATGCCTGAGCTTCATGTACCTAACAAGTTAGAACAAGATATCAAAGACACAAATTACATGGGAAATAGAGAGCAATAAGCCAGGGTTTCTGGAAAGGTTTAAGATACTCTGAAGAGACCAAAAGTAGAAGCAAGGTGAAGGAGACAAAGTAAGCCTAGGAAAGAGGATGGGAGGACATATAGAATTTCTGCATATGTAATTCCTGAAAGTGTTCCAAGCAGGGAAGCCCACAGCCCAACTGCTGGAGACGGGTATGTGGGGGAGGCTGTCTGGTTGGCTGTGTATGTGGTGTATGCACAGGTTATGGGAAAGTGTGGAATGGCTATCGGAACAAATGCACAGAGAGCCTTAGACAGGTCGAACATGGTATACATTTGGGAGGCTGAATAAAGATAAAGGTTGATCAAGTGTGCTGGTTAGCTTTAACTATTAACTTGACAACCTAGTACCACCTGGAAAGACAGTATTCATGAGGAATTGCCTATATCAGATCTGCAAGGAATTGTTTCAAATGTTAATTGATACAGGAAGGCACTAGCTATTGTGGGTGGCATCATTCCCTAGGCAGGGGTTTCTGAACAGTTTAAGAGAGGAGAAATCTGTCTGAGACCAAGCAAGTAAGCAAGAAAGAAGACCCGCAGGCATTTATTTCTCTCTGATCTTGACTGTGGATGCCATGTAATTAGATGCTCGAGTTTCTGCCTTGAATTCCCACTCCCCAGTGATGGACTGTAACATAGAATTGCAAATTGAATAAACTCTTTCACCCCTAAGTTGCTTTTGATCAGCGTATGTTATCATAGCAGCAGAAGTAAAGCTATAGAAGAAGGAGAAATGACTATTGATAGTTAACAATTTAAAAACTCTGAGAACTGGAAGATATTTTCAACCTGCTTGGCCCAGCAGTTGCTCCCCCATGGCACAGCCTCTCTTGCGGTCATGGCGCATACTCTTTGTGCCCTGGCGCTCTTCTTCTGCATCAGATGGAAGCTTGCAGCACTTGAGCAAAAGAAACTGGCACCCACATCCAGAGCCCAGCATATCTGACCCCTCTTTCATGTCACTCTTAAGTAATCCAGGTCTCAGAAATATCCCTATGAGGTGAATGGAACTTTCTGTTTATTCTTTGTGTCTTTCACATCTTGTCTCCAGATCCCACCCATCCCCCCACAATAAAACAAAACAAAATGTAAGAGAAAAAAGGAAGGAGGAGGAAAATCTCATCATGGAAGCTGCAGTGTGACAGTGAGTCAGTCACCCCTTTATCCATACATCTTTACATTCACGCGTTGATCACAAAGACTCATTGGTTCGAGGCCCCTGGGTGTCTGCTACACCACTGATGCTGGGCCCCCACTGGGACCCTTCCTGTACATCCTGTTGCTGCCCTGCCTCATGGAGACCCTGCAGTCCTGAGTCTGCAGGACTCCCCAGTCCATACTCCAGCAGATCACAGGTGGGGTGGACACGGGGGTGAGGCAACCCGTAACCCTGGTTCTGGGCTTGGGTAGTTGCCGCATTCGTCAGCCTGCCAGGTCTCGCCTGTCTTCACCAATAGGGTGAGCTCTCCAGCATTGCCCTGGGTAGTTCACCTGCTGCAGCCATGAGCAAGGGGCAGGGCAAGTTTTTTCACTTTCATATCCTCAGGGTCGGTTCCCCACACCTACACCTTCAGGGCCAGCTCTACTGTGTTGCTGGGGCCAGGTGTAGGGTCCACTCTCCCGAATGCTGCGGCTGCTAAGGGACAGGGACAGCTCTCCTGCTCTTATAACCTCAGGGCTGGCCCTCCCACCTGCCTCAGGCGTTGGTGGGGGGGGAGGGCATCTCTCCCCAGCCCATGCAGCCATAAGGTAGGTAGGGGGTGGGACTAGGTCGCCCACGCTCATGTTCTCAGGGTTGGCTAACCTGTACCCTTGTCAACAGGTCAACTCCTCTATGTTGACCAGAGGAGGTGCAGGGCCCACTGTAAGCGTTTAGGGTGGATAGAGATGGGTCAGGTATTCTGGCACTCGGGAGTCACAGAATACTGAGTGTTACACAGCTCAGGTGGAAAGGTATCCTGGAGCTGGGGAGCCAAGGACCACCACAGGCCCAGTAAGCCTAGCAGCTTACAGCCCTGTCGCAGGGAAAGGCTTCCCAGCTAATAGGCTCTGCTCCAGCAGGAGAGGGTCTTCCAGCTGGGGATGTTTGCCCAATGTAGCAGTTTTGCTCAGGCAGGAGAAGGTTTCCTTGGGGAAGTTGGCAACAGTTCAGCTCTGCTCCAGGGAGTCGAGAGTGGAGTGTAACAACTCCGCTCTGCCAGGGGAAGGTTTCCCCTGCAAAAGTGTTACAGCCCTGCTCGCTCTGCTCTGTCCAGGGTGGTCTCTGCTCCGGTGCAAAAGAAGGTCTTCACCCAAAGCTCATCGAAGGGGTTTATTGGGAAGAAAGAATCCAGGAGAGTGGCTGCCCTCTGTCACAGTGGCAGAGGACAGCCGGGTAGCACTAACAGCCTCAAACTAAACAGACACAGGGTTTATATAGGGCTTTCAGGGTGGTGATTGGTCAGATTTCAATGCTGAGCTCACATTGGCTAGAGCTCCTGTTTGAGGATTAGGGTCAGAATTGGCTCTGGTTTTAGGGCCAAAGTGTGTTTCTTTCTCTGGTCCTTTTAAGCTTTTTGGCTCTAATTTTAGGGCCAGGGTGTGTTTCTTTCACCGACTCTGATTCCAGGGACAAAGTGTGTTTCTTTGGTACTGGTTTCAGGGTCAGGGTGCATTTCTGTGGTTCTGGTTGCAGGGCCAAGGTGTGCTTCTTTGGTTCTGCTCAGGGTGTGTTTCTTTGGCTGGTCCCTTTTCCCTACACCAGCTTTCTTGAGTGTTGCAGTTAGCAGCTGCGGGCAGACAGGACTGGACACTACGGGACATCATTCCCTTGCTCCCTCCACCACACCGCAGATGAGAGAGGTGTTCCTCTCACATCCTCAGGGATGGCTCACAGTGTCCCTGTGTTACTAGATCAACTTGGTTGCGCTGCCCTGGAGAGGGGCAGGGACTGTTGTCCCGAGTGCTGCAGCTGGTGAGGAGTTAGGTCAGGTCCGGGCTGCAGGAGGAGGAGCGAATCTTTCCCTCACCCATGCCACCGCTTGGCAAATGAGAGGGGTGCAACCTGCTCCCCCACTCCCAAACCCTCAGGGCAAGCTCATCTGCGAACAGGTCAACTCAATTGTATTGGCCAGGTGAGCTTTAGAAAGCTCTCTCATGAGCGCTTCAGCCAGGGAGGGGCAGGACCACTCCTTCCTACTGTTGGCGGTCGAAGGGGGCAGAGCCAACTCTGGACTGCCCTATCCTCCCTGCCTTTGGCGATACCTAGGGACATCAACAGAGACCTGTGGCTGCATCAGAGCCGAACCTAGACCTGGGTCCCAGCAGAAGTCCAGGCCCAGATAGTCCCAGCAGAAGTCCAGGCCCAGATATCACCGTGGCCCTGGGTGGCAATGAAGCCACTCACCTCAGCCCACTCCTCATCTCTTTCGCCTCTTCAGATATGCCTCTGCCCACAGGGCGCAACCATTCTCTCTCTCTGTCTCTCTCTGTCTGTCTCTGTCTCTCTGTCTGTCTCTCTCTCTCTCTGTCTGTCTCTCTGTCTGTCTGTCTGTCTCTCTCTCTCTCTCTGTCTGTCTCTGTCTCTCTGTCTCTGTCTCTGTCTCTGTCTCTCTGTCTCTGTCTCTGTCTCTGTCTCTGTCTCTCTCATATCCTCATATCACACCATACATTTGCTCACCATAGTAATGCCTCCCTGCAGGGCAGCTCAGTGTTTTCTTCTGGGATCCTGGGAGGACCTGCCCGAGGCCCCAGCGTTTGTGTCTCCTTGTCCTGCTTAGACCATCATGGCCCTGGGCAGGACCACACTTCCTCACTACAAAAGATCGCAACCGTGCCCAGAGGGCTCTTGGTTGGTGCAGAGGTGCTGCTGGAGTCCTCTCACAGGCCTGAGCTGGAAAGCCTGGGCTGGGATCCACTGAGTTGGAACACCCCAGCCGCACGGTGTGGGGTCGGGTGCTGATGGAGTCCTCTCACAAACCTGGGCTCAGCATGTAACTTTAATACATTCGATTTCTTGGGGAAAGGGAGGATCCAGTCACATCTGTGTTTGATTAGAATTAGCCAGTTTTTGGAGACTTGGAATGATATAGATCCAGAAGCAGAATTATCAAGAGCTGTGTCTAATCCCCTTTAAACAGCCCACCACTGTATCTGATGTGACATCCTTTCACCCACCTAAAGCTAAGAATGTCATCAGATAGCATCTGAGACTTCCAGCAGTTTCATCTGTTTTATTGTCACCTGCCTACCTGCTGTCCCCAGCAATGCACGCTGTGGATGTATTGTTTTAGGACCGTCATTTGTTCTCTGGCTACAAAAGTTCATGTAACCACTTACACTGTGGAGCGTGTCTTCAGATCCAGCCTGAATGTGTTATCAGTCCATGGTCTCACTCATTTAGATCAGAACAAATGCTTTTCCATGGTCACTCAAATTTGACTCAGTGGTTAAGAGAACTGGCTGTCTCCAGAAGACCCAGGTTCAAGTCCCAGCACTCACACAGAGACTCAAAACCTCCAGTTCCAACCTCTTTGGCCTCTGGAGGCACTGCACACACATGGTGCACAAACATACAAGCAGGCAAATACCCCCGTGCACACAAAATAATAGAATAATAAAGAAAAATAATCAGGGCAACACAGAGAAACCCTGTCATGTAAAATAAATAAATAAATAAATAAATCCCTACATCTATCAATAAACATGATAGATGTTTATCCAGTTTGAAAAGAATACAAATTATACTATCTATATTACCTAATGAAGTAGATTTACTATGTTTTCTTTCATGGTTAAAAAAGTATTATTATTATTATTATTATTATTGCTATTATTATTATTATTATTATTGTGTGCCTTACAGTTTCCCAGCCAGGGCTATAATACATCTTGAGTTAATTTTTGCATTTAAGTTTAAGATTCATTTTTTGTCATAAATGTAACATTATTTTAGCACCATTTGTTGACATGACTGTACTCCATTTATCCTTTCTCCCTTGAATTGTCTTGACACTTTTACGAAAGTCTCCCTGACACTGTGTGTGTGTGTGTGTGTGACTGTGAGTGTGTGAGAGTGATTTTAGAGTTCTTACTATGTTCCATTGGTCTAGTCAATCTATTGCCTGTCCTACATATTTCCATGTGATATTTATGGTTAGCTGCTTTGTAACTACAACAAAAGGCCTTTGGAGTTTTAAAGTAAGGATATGTTGAATCTGCTTGAATGTAATTTTGAATATTGATCTTGGATGTTGCAGCATTCAGAACCTTACTGATTAATTACATTTTCATAGATTTTACCCAGCTATCTGCATGGGTAACCATACTGTGTGTAAACAAAGACTGTTGTAATACTTCTGTAGCAATCTGGATGCTTTTTATTTCCTTTCCTTTCCTTTTTCTTGCCTTATCGAACAGGCTAGAAATCATTTGATGGAAGAATGAAATGTAAGCATGCAGTTTTATTGGAGAAACCCTTCATTATTATGAAAGATTTTTAAAGATGCCCTTTAGCCACTTGAAGAATTTATTTTCTAACTAGCTGTTTTCTAAGAATTTTTTAAAGTGGAAATGAATATTACTTTAGTAAAATGCTTTTTGTGTTCCTATTTCAATAAGTAGATGAGTTTTCTTCTTTATTACATTTATTTATTTAGTATATGGTATGTGTCAGCATGCATATAGAGGCCAGA